AGAACTGAGGAGAATTCCCTGACAGTGAGGACAATTAACCAGTGGAACTACTTGCCTCCAGAAGCTGCAAATGCTCCAACAGTGGAAGTTTTAAAGAAGAGGTTGGATATCCATTTGTCTGAAGTGGAGTAGGGTTTCCTGCCTAGGCAGGGGGTTGGACTAGAGGACCTCCAAGGTCCCTTCCAACTCTCTTATTCTATATATTTTCGGAGGCAGTCTTCTGAATCCATGCTGTCCTTTGACAACCTGGACCAGGAAGATCTGGAGATTCTAGGAGGTTTTTGGAGGGGAGAGTGGCATTTTCTGTGTACTTTGTCTGTCTTGGGAGCTGTGGTGCTTTTCAAGCCTTTGTGGAGCACCTCAAGCGACAGAGAGCAGCCTCTTTCCCCTGGATGGTGCTCCTTCTGAAGGACCAGAAGCTGCGCTTGAACAAGGCAGGACGGATTGAAGTGCCCTCTGGGACCTATCACTCACGCTGAATGACAGAACGGCAACAAGCTGGAGCTTATGGCAAAGAGGACGTCTCTGATAGGGCTTGTTCCAGAGTGAGAAAAAGCAGAAGCGCTGAATCGGTGTCCCGGTGACACTCTCCCTCCCTCTCTCTCTCATATCTTAGGGGTTTTTAGCCATTTGTCAGGAATCTATCCGTATCTGTCTGTCTTTCAACTAATCTCCTCCTCCTCCTCTTCTTCTGCTTCTCCTCCTCCTCCTCCTCCTCCTCATCTTCTTTGTCTTCCTCTTTCTCCTCGTCTTCCTCTTCTCTTCCTCCTCTTCTGCTTCTCCTCCTCCTCCTCCTCATCTTATTTGTCTTCCTCTTTCGCCTTGCCTTCCTCTCCTCCTCCTCCTCTTCTTCTTTCTCTCCTCCTTCTTCTTTTCCACCTTCTCTTCCTCTTCCTATCAACCATATCTATTTTTCTTCCTGTTCAGCGTAGCACCTCTTTAAACCGCAAATCGTATCTCCCTGTGTTCTCTTCCTCTCTATATCTTTCTGCGCTTGAATCTGCCTCCTCTCGGCACGTTCTTCACCTTACTTGGGCTTTCCCCCTTGAAGCCTTTTCTTTTAAGCACTCTCCCTCACTGTCTTCTTAACAGCCATCTCCTCCTCCTCCCCCTGCAGGGACCTGGCTGCCCGAAACTGCCTGGTGGGTGAGAACCACCTGGTGAAGGTAGCCGATTTTGGCTTAAGCAGATTGATGACTGGGGATACTTACACGGCTCATGCTGGGGCCAAGTTCCCTATCAAGTGGACTGCGCCGGAAAGCCTCGCTTATAACAAATTCTCCATCAAATCGGACGTCTGGGGTAAGAATACAGAGCGGGAGAGTCGGAAGGGGCCTTGGAGGTCTTCTAGTCCTTCCTTAAGCAGGAGATCCTATATCCGGGTTGGCAACCTCTGGAGCCGCATGTGGCTCTTTCGTCCCTCTGCTGCGGCTCCCTGTCGCCGGTCGGCATCACAGTTGGTAGGGCTTTTGGTTAGGACAGGTAGAGGGGAAAGGAGGCCGCGCTAGGAGGAGACTCTATGGTGGGGGAACCGGACTCCCGGCCAGCTCCAGAATCGAACGGTGGGCTTCCGGTTAGGACTTTGGTGTCTCCTTTAAGGTTGCCGACCTCTGTCCTCTACCGCCCTGGTCAAATGGTTGTCCGACCTCTTCGTGAAAAGCTCCAGTGATGGAGCACCAGGACTTCTGGCGATAAAGGCCCTCCTGAAGTTGCCGGGTGGAGGATGCGCAGACATTTTTAGGCTGAAGTTTTTTTCAGGCGTTTCCTAAACTTGTTCAGTTAAGATTGTTGCTCCTGGTGGTATTTAGCGGTTTCTTCCTTTTGACCCCCTGAGAAATACAATTCCGAGACAAATTTGGGGAGGAGGAGGAGGAGGAGAAAATCTCCCCAAAGCGGGGATTGGGGGGGGGGGTCAGAGTGGTTGAGGCTGAAGGTAGGAAATCCAGCCAAGGGACTGGATCGGTTATTAAACCAGCAAATGGGTGGATGAATCTCTGTAACAAAAGATATTCTATTCAATATTTGTAGCTCAGGGTTGAACTGTGGGGTCCCTGGTGCTCTCTGAACTTGGTGGCTTTCTTGCAGATGTTTCATGACCCAACTAGGTAGCATCATCAGGGCTAGAAGGGGGGTTGGACTAGAAGACCTCCAAGGTCCCTTCCAACTCTGTTATTCTACTCTATTCTAATTTTATATAAAGCAACTTTCTTCTAGCAGGAATAGGTGCTTTTTCATCTCAGGTGTCCTTCTCCTTTCCGACTCAGCACCGTATTTCTTCCCCATCCTTCGCTGCCCGAGGAGACTCCTAATAAAGAAAGATCTCAAAAACAGCCTCCTAGAAACGGCCGGTCATTTTTCACCTCATAATGCAAGTGGAAGATTTCTGTTTTCAAGCCCAGCAGCTGCTTTCTCTTCGGTTACTGTCGCTGGGCCAAAGCAGAGAGAGATACGGGGCAGGTTTTGATATCTCTTTATCAAATATGCCTCCGTGCCTTCGGGGATCCGAGGGGTCCTTTCCCCCCCCCCCCCCAAACCGCTCTGTTTTAGCGAAATCCTCTTCAGAAGCCTCCTTCCCCGGCTTCTGCAGAAAATACTCTGTGTAGAAAAACGTTGGCTTGAGTCAACCTTTTTATTAATTTATTTAAAAATATATTTTTTAATTCAGACACCCATTAAACAGTATGTCGTCTGGAAAACTGTCATTATCCTCCTCATTCTCCCCCCCGCCCCAAATCCCCACTCCTTTCCAGCTCTGATGATGCTGCCTAGTTGGGTCACGGAACGTCTGCAAGAAAAGCGCCGCTTGGGAATGTGGTCTGCCCGCAGACTGAGATGGTGGTGGGCCAAATCGCCACCTCTGCTGATTCTCCCTTTCCTCCCGCGCAGCTTTTGGGGTCTTGCTCTGGGAAATCGCCACCTACGGCATGTCCCCCTACCCTGGGATCGACCTCTCGCAGGTCTACGAACTTTTGGAGAAGGACTATCGCATGGAGCGTCCCGAGGGCTGCCCGGAAAAAGTCTACGAGCTCATGCGAGAGTGTGAGTTTGCGCTCAGCCACGGCCTGGCCTTCATTTCCTTTCGGGTTGGGGAAGCCACAAGGCAAATCTGGGCATGGCGGGGGGGCTGAGGGGGCAATTAATATTTGTTTTCCTGAGCCTCCACTTAAGGGAAGAGGCAGGGGGATGCCGATATTGCATTTTATTTTATTCACTGAGTTTATCCCTACGGAACAGAGGAGGGTGGGTTTCCTCTTCGCCTCCTGCCTTTTCAGAGCTCCAGGCTAGCAGAGCAGGGAAACCCCCAGATTCGCTCTTATCCTGGATTGAAAAGATCTAGTTCTGGACCTGATCCCTTTGGGCTTTTCACCCCTTGCTCCCTCGGTCCCCCTTTTAGGCTGGCAGTGGAGCGCATCGGAGAGGCCGTCCTTTGCCGAAATCCACCAAGCGTTTGAGACGATGTTTCAAGAATCCAGCATTTCAGACGGTGGGTGCCTCCTGATAATTCATTCTTTCTTTCTTTCTTTCTTTCTTTCTTTCTTTCTTTCTTTCTTTCTTTCTTTCTTTCTTTCTTTCTT